TAAAAAAATATATTATAATGTGAGAAATATCATGTGATACATTTATATGTATGTTATATCTTTCATGAATTGATGGAAGTTAACATAATGGTTTTTAAGGAGGAAATGTTATATTAAAATATAAGTAATTTATTAAATTTGGAATTTTCTATGACTTATGATGTGAAAAAAATAGTATCTAACAAGTTATAGGGATTTATTACCATATCACATGAGGAAACATGTTTCAATTGTGTATTTATGTTAAAAATATTCATTTAGGAAAAGTAGTGTGACGAGTATAAATAGCTTGACGAGTGTCAATAGCTGAGTATAAATTCAACATATGAATATTTCGGAAGTAAAGTCAAATATTTATGATTGTGAATGTCAATATATAATGACATAATATGTAGTTTACATATTGAAAGATTAAACACTTGATTTATTATATAATTGTGGAGCTTGATTTATTTATCAAATATAAATATTTTAAATATTTTGTGATAATCATAATAATGAAAATTTTTATCACTAACTTACCCTAAATCATGTGATATTTTGATCTAAACTGCGTCAGCGTCAGAACATATTATTATACATGAGCATCACATATTACTATACATAAGCATAGGATAGTTTAAATGACTAGTCTCAATATTGAATTGTTGAAGAAATAAAGAGAAAATTTTATATTTTAGTTATTATGTTTAAAAATATGTATAAAAAATTTGTATAATATAATAATATTACTTTTTAATTACTTAATATGAATAACTAAATATATTTATTTATGTTCTTCACTATTTTAATTTTATATTTTAATATAATGAATGTTACATGAGTTAAAATTTAAAACTATCTAATTTTATATAATCAAATTATTATCACATCCATTTTAATAATATACTTTTATTATAAAATATTTCAATTTTTAATAAAAGTAAAATATTTTAAAAAAATGACCATAAATTAATACGTATTCTACTGTTAGATCGAGTGAATGATTGAGAAAGGATAATATGTAATTATTGTTGTAAATATCTTTCTCTTCACCATATATAAAGTATAAAAAGGTTGAGGGCAAAAGAATATATTTTGATGAGGCATCACAATTTGCTTATAATTGGCGAGATCTTGAAAAGGGCTAAAAGGTTCTCATTCTTTTATTTTTACATGCTCGTGCATTCTTCACCCAAATAAATAAATAAATAGATTAAGATAGTGTTATGCATGGTATTTTATTAATCATTTCTGCATTCATTCTTGATTTTAATTAAGATTAGAATTTAATTTTTTATTTTTATTTGTGTTGGATTTCAGTGTTTTTTTTTCTTTACTATTCATCTCTATTTTATATTATTTTAAATAAAATTATTATTTACATATTTATAATTTTATACTTTATTATTATTATTATTATAATTAATTAAATATATTTAAAAAAGATTTAATTTTTATATATATAAATAAAAGTGTCTTAATCTCAAATTCTTTATTTAAGATATTGTTGAAATTTTAATTCGTTATAATTTTATTTTTAAAAATTATTTTATAAATTATGAAAAATCTCCTAACTTTAATATAAAATACGTATAAGATTATTATTATATATAAGAAAAATATTACAGAATTTATTAATTATATAGTTTTGAAGATAGGTGTGTTATGATTAGTGAGAATATAAAAGATATTTTGTTGTAAAAAGCTGGTGAAGAAAAAGTGTTTAATAAAATAAAAGGTATGAAAAAGTGAAGGACAGAGAGTTCCCCACTTTTTGGGATGCAGACCACAGAGTCATGCAAGTATTAAGACTTCTTCTGGTCATTTTCCACCGCAACCTCTCTTTTCTGGAGGCATGTCGTACTGGACTGGCCCAACCACTCCACCAGAAAAATAAATTACATTTTTTTTTCTTCAACATAAATTTATGTAAAAAAAATACAAATAAAAAATATATAATTTAAATAATTTCTAAGTAATAATAAAAAGACTCTATCATATGAATGATTCCAACCAATAATTTTATTGAGACACATGTTTCAATAAACAAACTTAACCTTAAAATGGTTTTGGATTTAATAAAAAAATTATTTTGAAAGCATATATAAAACAAGTGTTGCTGTCATTCTTGTTTTATCTAAATTTGTAGTCATTCCAATGCCAACTTTATTATCATCAGAGTCACGACAAATTCAAAAGGTGAAGCTGTTCCACAGGTAAAGTTGATCAGAACATCAAAGTCGAGTTGATCTTTTGCGATATTATAAGATTCTTAGTTTTTAGACATTCAAATAACACAAACAAACATTGCTTATTATTGATAACCACTTCACCTTTTTGTTCTTGCAAGTTACAAAGAGTTCATAAAAGTAAGAAGTATTAAAAGGAGAGAATCATACACCTAACATTAAACGTGCTTTGATTTCCATGCAAAACTAGTAGGTCCACTATTGAGACAAAAATCACACTTGATGTTCAATCCAAGATTTCTATAGCATGTTATTAAACTAACTTTATCCATGGCATCGATTAAAAATTCTGCAGAGAATCGAAGTAAAATTCTGCAAAAGTTGAAATTGTATAAAAATGGGAGGAATGGTTGAAGAGTTGCTTAGATGCCAGCACTAAAGACATGGTGGGAAGCGAAGTGAAGGTTTGGTTTAGAAGTGAGAAAGGTGAGGAACAGTTTACAGAAACCCCATTGATGGAGATGGACCTGACAACTTTTCAATCATTTGTTTTTGGTTGGCATCCCTCGTTAATGATGTCTACTGGGTAGGCCCCTTGCACCATAAACTTCTTTTCATTTCTATATTTTTGTTCTTTCTCTACCCTTCATCAACGTATTCTCCCTTTTCTCTTTGTTGCTTTGCATTTTCATTATTCAGTTTTCTATTACTCACTTCAGTTCTGAGATCTTCCTCTTGGAATCACAACTTTCCCATCCATTGTTCTTTTGGCATTTATCCCGTATGGGATATGCAATCAATAATTCCATGAATGGAATGATATAACATGACAAATCAGCAAAATTATTTATTTCTGGGTAGGGTCCCTTCAAAAATATATATACACTTTTATTCACTGAAACATTCATGTGCACCACTCAATATGATTATTAGCAACAATATCTTAACCAACCATTCAACATTGAATGACCACAGTTTAAGACAACCCATAACATTGACTCATTGCACCACACTTGGCTAAATTAATTAGTTACTGATTCAGATCAACATTTTTAAGGTTTTGCTCTGCTGAATATAAACAAGGACAATATTTAAGGTAAGTTTAGTTAAGAGGATGAGGGAAGATGGGTGAAGAAAGAAAAATATTGGTATGTGATTGAGGAGAGAAAGAAGAGAAATAATTTACTAAAAATGGTGGGATTTGTAGTGTTATATTGCATGCATTTTTGTTTGTCTTTATTTTTTTTATCTCTTTTTTTATTTCTCTTCGACTAAATAATTTTATTTTTTACTTTGTTACTTATTTTTAGGATAAAAACAAGTTTAATATAAATAGTTTTAAACGATATCAACACAGTTAAAATGTATGTCAAAATTAATCTAAAATATAAATTTTAATTAGTATGTATACACAGATATAAGAACCAAGAATCTGGTTTAGGTAATGTTTATCAGAGATTAAAGAAAGAGAGAAGCACTAGGTGGATGATAAAAGCAAGGAAAAGAAAATGAGTGAAAAATGGAATAAAATTAGAAATTGTGTGGTTGAAAAGAAAAAGAAAAATAGCTAGGTACGAATATATATATATATATATATATATATATATATATATATATATATATAATTCTTATTATTAATATTTTATTATAATTTATTACTTAAATTATTATATAAATATAGGGTGGGAATGTTACCATACCTAAGACTCGGATGAGATCTTTTTTCAAGGCTAATCCTTTATATATACAAATGTACAAGTCAAATATAAAATAAAAGTAGTCTTAATTAATCATGAAAACGACATTATCTATCTAGACAATGATGTTCTTTGTTACATGGAATTTTTTGTTGGATTTTATTATTTTTTCTTAAACATTTTTCTTTTCAACTTTTCCCCCCTAAATTTGTTTATGAAGAAGTATATTGTTCTGATATCTGAACTTACTTTTACTTCTCACTAAAATCCTAGTCAAGAACATGAGGATCCTCCAAAACTTTGGAAATTACTTTACCAACTTTTTTTGGTTTAATTATGCTTCGTAAAATTGGGAAAAGGTCGTCATTCTTTATCCATGATTTAGGTTTGCGTCTCTCCAGTAGAAAAATAACTACAACGAAATTCAGAGAAAACTGTTAGTTTCATCCTTTCAAATTGCATAGTATAACCTTTCAATAACTGTAATCACTCCCAACATAGTTTTTCAAACATCTAAATTACCACCAATAATATCCATGTGCAAAACTTAAATAATACAAAAGTAAAAAGTAAATGTCAGAAAACACTAATTTGGTAGCAGACTTTTTAAAGTGCTAATTTAATGTCAATTTGTCAAAGATTAATGCGGTAATACATGTAATTTTACAAATCCAAATTGAAACTGGTTCAAAATTTACATGTTTTACTGTAAAATAAGATTTAAAAGTTGGAAAGAAAAAGAAAACTGAACTTTAGTTGAAAACTGCACATGATCATAATCCCCTTTATGCATGCATTGTGGCAGATTTTGACTTGGAAAACACATGCAGCAATAATAACCCTCCACGGTCAGGTAGTGCCCACGAGAGTGTTGAAGTGTCATTATACACTGGATTTACACAAAATAGCAGATTGGCAGTGCAATTGACTCCAAAACAGTGTGTAGGGCAGGCATTCAGCACTGGCCCCCACATAAACAGATCCAGACTCTGTATGTCATAAAGTCTTGAACAGTTCAGTAAAAAATACTGGGATTTTCCTACTAGTCTTACAAGGATCGATACAGACCCTAGAAACTCATGTCTGAAAGAACATTTAACATTAGAACTATACATAGCATGGAACACCTAATCTAACACCCAGCAGCCTTGAGGAAATTGTCAAAGGGGCTAGCAGGAGGCAGCCTCATGGGGTCACTTGACAAGTGGGAAAACCCACCACCATTTCCTACCTACATAATAAATATAACAATGTCAGCACTGCATTTAAAGAGTTGGACTTATTTAGAACAGAGGTCAGTAGTTTCTAATAGTCTAAGATATATTTTTGGTCCCTTTAAAATTTTTCAAAATTAGGTTTCAGTCTCTCTAAAAATTTTTGTTCCGTTTTTGGTCCTTCTAATTATGAAATGCATAACTTCTAATCCTTTCAAGTAGTTTTAGATCATGCTTTATAAATCGATGAACCAGATATATTTTGACATGGTATATTCTAAAATAACCATGGTATATTTTGCAATATGATTTCTAAACAAATTGGAATCAGGACAAATAAGGATTGCACCGTCCAGTGCTGAGTTCCTGTTATCAGAACAAACCTTATCAAGTGCTGAGTTCCTAATATCAGCAATTGCCAGAAACGATTTATCAGCTGCTTGGATGTAATGATTCTCAAAGGCAAGCCAATTTGAAAGCTTCTTCCTTGCACATGTCCCAAGTGATTCACACTGGCTAGCCATGGTGTTGTATGGAAGGGGCGAAGTGGAGACAGCTGTTCCCGCCACTTGACCAGCTACCTCTAAAGCCTACGTACAGTGTAGAGCATGTTGAGCTTGTAGAACAGTAATCATGCATAACAATGAAATGTATGCATTCCAATTCCATTTGCATATATTGATTGGATAAATAGGCATGAAAGACAAACTATGGGAAATTAGCTTTAAAGCATTTATACTGCTTGGTTCATATGGAAAAGTGGAAGAGAAGGTAGAAAGAAAGTTAAAAAAAAAAGGGTAGAAAGTGAGATAGCATTTTAGTTGTTTGCCATTACATAAACATAAAAAATATGCATAAATAGTACCATCAATGATTTTTTTTTTTTTTTAATTAAAAATGCTAGCCTCTCTCCTTTCATCCTGAATTGGGGAGGAGGGCAGTAGTAATACACAATAATGACTTATCATAATACACATGCAAGACAAAGAATGTACCGATTCCATAAGTTGTCCAATGCTGATAACATGAGGAGCGGAAGGGGATACAGGCATCTTTGGAATAAATCGAGAAAGGTCAGAGACAGATGCTTCACTGATTGTGTCATCTTCTCCTGCTGAATTTGATGGAAAATCCTGCATAATCATGGAAGAAAACACAAACAGATCAGAAGATTGGTATTGAACTTCCATTTCATATGTTTTGAAATAAAAAGTCACTTCTTTTTATAGCTAGTAAGGGGTAAGTAATCAAACCCATGATATCAAGCCATGGCCAGTGACATTTGTGAGCTATAAAATATAATGTTTCTGCACACATTTCAAACTGTTTCTATAGGTTTGTTTGCACACACACTAGAACAGAAAAGAAAACATCTTTGTGCATGGAAGAAATAACATATACCCCATCAAATGACAGTGACTCCTGGGAATGAAAAATTATTTGATTCTGATCAAGCATTGACTGTGGACCAAACACAAATTCTTCATCAGGCTTGAATGTCTCTGACAATAGCATAGCCAGTTCATCTGCATCCAGCTTAAGAAACAGGAAAACACCAGAAAATAAGAGACTGGGGGTTATAAAAGAAAGATGATCCCTGCATATAATGTAATACCTCAGTGACAGTAGTTAAACTATGAACCAAAGCATCCTTTATGGTCTGGTGACATTCACGTATTTTGTTCTGTAACTCTGTCAATATTGAACAGGCTGACTGATTATCAGCAGCAGTACCATATTCTCTAACATCCACATTGATCTTAGCATATACTTGATAATCGTCACCGATACTCAAGAAAGGATCAACCTGGTTATATTAAAGCAGGTAGTTGTCAAGAATCAAGATAAATACTTCTGCATAAAAATCATGGTTCTCTATACCATCAAAAACAGTGCAGAATTCCTCTAATAGACATTAAAGAGTAGCATAGCATCAACCACATCAGTCACTCACATCAGACATTGGCAATGACGCAAACACTTCATTCAAATCATGAATCTGATATATTTTGCAGGCAAATACCAACATGCCAGCAGACAGCACAAATACAGATCTCTGACAAGCTGGGGGCATCATTCCTGCCAGAATGGGTACAACAATTTTCACATCTATTGTTTTCTCAAAATTATAAATAATCACATAAAGAAAATGTATGTCATACCATTACTTTGGTCCAACAACATGGTCCAGAGAGATAAGGGAAGCTGGAAAAAGCGGATCACCAGGTTGTCTCTGTCTTTCAGGTTCTGCAACATTAGAAAATTTTTAAACAACCAGTATAATATATATATGGAAGTATGTAACAGAAAGTGCAGTGACGACTGTGGTTATATTCAAACTATGAAATTTGAGAATTCAATATTTGCCTAGGGTAAAAAAGCATGGCTATTCATCCATAGGTTGGAGCAATCAGCCAGTGTTAAAATAAGACAAATGAAACCAGACCAAATTTGAAGAGAAAATAATTTAAGATGACAAGTTCAATAAATTTGTATAGTTTGAAAGCTTACTCATGACATTTTTTTTTTACACAAGTCAAGTCACAGATAATTCAGTAAATTAATGACAATGAACTGCCTCTATTGAAGATTAACTTTGATTGGGAACTCAAACAAACTCAATTTACCATGCATGATCATCCAGAAGCAGAAATTCAATATAGATGAAACTACTAGGATAAAAAAAATGACAAAGACACAGTAATGCAAATTTAAATAAAATTCTACCTTTATGCGTAAAACTATTAGTGTCAATATGAACGAATGAGCTATAGCTTCAATATTTGAAGGTAAATTATCAGGAAGATTGGCTTGAACCCAAAACGCAGAAAGCAGTTGCGCCATTTGATCTTCAGTTAGTTTCATAACATATGGTTCCTGAGAGCCCATTCAATACCAAAACTTAATAGATAAGAATATTTTACTAAGAATAACCACAATTAACACAACCTATTGACTGAAATCAATTAATTACTTACTGTGTCAGTCAGACTTGGCGATCCTGTAGCTCTATCAATGATAGAACTGAGTTTGTAAAAGTTAGGGGAATTCTTTAAGCCACATCCCTGCTTCCAGTCTTCTGCCACAATATCCCTTTCCTGGCAACCATCATGAACAGTATTTCCTTGATTTTCTGTCTTGGTACTATCTCTATTTCTGCGTAGCTTTTCAAGTAAAGCTGTAATCGAAGCAGATGCTGACACAGATTCAGTATGAGAATGTCTTTTGTTGTGTTGATCTAGATATCTCAACCGCAGAGAGGAGATTTCATGAGTATGGAAGGAACTTGGAAAAAGAAGAATGCAAAATATAAGGTGTGCTCCAACACGAGCCTCCACATCTGAATGCAACATTACTTTTAGGAGTTGCACAAGAAGAGCTTCGGGAAATCCCTAGAAGGAAGCATAAAAAATTGATGAAATAAATCTATTCAGTATTCCAATATTCCCAAAATAAGAAAATGTAAAAAAAGGTTTAGCTGTTCAATTTTCAAACTTATAATCAAGACAATGCCCCTCCTCTCCTTCCCTAACGTGTAAAACTTTACTAGTTATATAATCCTATTTTGTAAACTGTGATACTAGATATCCCAGCTTCAATTTGCAGTGAGCATACTTTGCTTTCAACACTATAGGATCAACAAGCTCCTCTCACCTGCTGTGAATGTAATCGAGTTAAAGCTGAAGTGACTGCACGAGCAAGGATGATCAAAGATCCAATGGTTGCTCTACCAACAACACCAGATGAAACATTTTCTAGGGTTATCGCCATCAAGTCAAAAAGTGGCTGGACATCAATGACCTAGGCAACCAATGAAAGGAAAAAAGTAGTTTAGTGGCTAATGAAATACAGTGACCAAATTAATAGTGTTTTTTTCGGGGGTGCATTCATGAGCATACCCCGTTGGCAATTTCTAGTAAGCAGTCCTCAATGGAATTTTGAAGTGAGATATTTAGGTTCAACTCTTGCTCCCCAACAAATTCACTGGAAGCTTGAAGGCTTTTCCTAAGATGTCTGCAAAGGTCGCCAACAAAACCAATCTCCCCCAAGCCCCTCCCAGATCTAATTTGCATAGCTAAAGATGTGGAAACCTGGACAACGCAAGTCTTAAGTTGAGGATCATTCATCACATTTTTGTGGTCCAGATGATGTATCACAGACGCTAGAATTAGGCGTTGATTCCCTGTTGAAAAAAGGTGAGAGAAAAAAAATATCATTATGGAACAAGAATGGACGGTTCTACAAAAGAGACTCATATAGTATTGCCCACAGCTCATTGCTGTTTCAAAATCAAGCCCAATGTTTTTAAAGGTAAAACATGAAATTTGAACAAATATCCACTGGTTGATTTATTTCTGAAAAGTGGTTCTGTCAATACCTGAGTTCTCCATGAAGTAGGCCATCCTGGATAAAACTATCATTGCTAAACCTTTCTGAGGTGCCCAGTGTTGTCTAAAGTCAAAGTAGAGAAACATTGGATCCAGCACTCGACGCATAGTTGTGCTTTCCTTGGCTAATTCAACCATTCTTTGAATACAAATCTGAGCCCATATTTCTGGTTTTTCAATTTCTTCTCTATAATATAAAAATAAATTAAAAAGGGGACCAAATAGTGATTAAAAGCAGTGTAACACAGATTGAGTACCACAAATATCAATGATCCACACTTTTTTATAAACTCTTGAACATAAATACCTAGTCAAAAGGGAAGGATCCTTTATCTCTGGTCGTGGCTGTATGATCAAGCAAGTAGAGCGATTGTCATTAGTGCCAATAACAGAACCACCCCGACCTTCACACCGTATAACCTCATCCACCCAATTATGATGTGCCTCTGCCCTGACATTGGCATCTTCGTTCTGTCTACTCCACTCAAAGTTATCTAAAGTGGCATGAACAATCTAAATTTTGAATGAATTAACAAAAATTAGTTACAATATCTGACAGAAGAGAGCAAAGAAATTCACACTACCAATTATTGATCCAAGAAAATACAGTATAATTGTGGCTACATGCTTGTTGGGTTTATTTCCTACTTTCTCATTAGTGAAAAAATCAAACTTCCATGAAAAATAGTTATTACTTATTAGACATGAAATTGGAAGCATCCAAAACCTTGGATGGTTTAATGTCCCACCCTGATATCTTCTCCATCCAGAAAATTATTTCATCATACTTTCACCTCAGTATTATTGAAGATGTGCCATTTCCAACAATTAAAAGGCTTGAATCATTTCAATGGGGAGCATCTTTAATTTTACAAGTACCTCATCAAAATCTGCAAAAATGTGTGAAAATTCAGCCATAAACCAAACCTGCAAAGAGGAAAGGAAGTCAGATAAACAATGAACTCACCACAATCATGAAATTTTACGTGAAAATAAATATTGGAAAGCAATCAGAAGCCAATGAACTTAAATTTAAAACATCATTAGCACAGAACAAATCAAAATGAGGCACCAATTACCATTGCTGAAAGGCACTGCAAGCTTGATGCCCTCAAGCAGCGCTTTTCACTTGCTTCCCCATGTTCCCGTGATAGCATGCATACTTTCCGCACCAACTTTTCAATGTTATGAGTATAAGTAGCATCCACCTGTTTTCTCATTGTGTCAAGCATGAATATGCATCACAAATTACCGTCAGCTTATTTATAGCTTGGAAGAAAGTAGTAGGAGAAACCAATCAATTAATCTTTTAATAGAAAGACCAAATGAAATATCCAAGGAAGGACAAGTAGTTATTATTAAAAACAGACACAGCCCTACACACTAGCAAAAGCTAGCTCTAGTGCATCAAAAGCACGGGACATGTTATTACACCCCATGAGACCCAAGATTGGATGTCTAGAACGCCGCCCAACATTAAGACTGAATTGAATATGATACTATATTAGAAATGGGGGATGGGCTTAACTCATTCCCAAAAATTAGCCAAGGAAGGAGGATTGACCAAGTCATTTTAGGATTGTTCCAACCACATTCCTAACCAGTGTGGGACATCTTAAAAATCGTCAAACTCTATTTTGAAAATCACTAGAATATACACTCAATTTTGGTTGTACACAAGGACATTGTGTCTAGTATTTTCTGTTTCCAAGTACATAAATCCAGGTAAACATTGATCTAACTCAATTATAATCATGCACAAGCCACAAATGCAGGCAACCAATAGGTATCTTAAGGTTTTTGGATTGTATAATTCACCTGACAGTATATGAACCTTGATAAGCACTGGCAACCAAGTGTCTGGATGGTCTCATCCTTAGAATAGCTCAAGAGCTCCGATGTTACATTAAGCACATCAACAGCGAAATAAGCTCTGGAATATGCAAGAGGAAGATAAAAATCTGAGTAGAGATTGATATCATTATCGTAATGTGGAAAAAATCCATTGCATATCTATTGTTTGATACAGTGCACCATCTACAGAATGTGGAAACATATGCTAATTAACCATGAGAAACTTACATCTGCACCTTACAAATGAAAAGCAACTTGTTGAAGCATTCCATTATAATAGTGACCAGTTTGATGTGCTCAGATTTGAGTTCTCTGGAGCACCTTTCTTCAAGATATTTGGCTATCTAGTAGAAAGAGCAGAAATAGTGAACGTCAATAATGGATCCTGCCTGGTTTCCTCTTCGCTTATAAAAGAACTTACAAATACACATGTAAAATCGAATAACAATAAACCTTTGGAATCCGGAAAGGGTTTCTTGCAGCATATTCACATAATTTGATTATCTTCCTGTCACTTGGAGGCTCATCCTGACAATAGTTAGTTAAAACATGAATACAGTGCCTGGATTTCTACCTCATGCACAGATGAATGTAAAGTCAAAAAACATTGCCACACTGGGTTTTTGATAATCATAAAAAATTCTTTGCATTGAGAACAGGGATAACTGAAAACATTACAGACGTAACTAATACAGTTCCTTACGCGCTTTTGGTCCTATTATCCACTCAGAATTGGAGTTTCAACTCAGCAATTCATATTGACCATAAATGCAATCCTTTATTAGGCAGATCACCTTGGGGAAATTGGTGAAACTACAATTCTAATTAGAATACAGCACTAATAGAACCTAAGGAACTGTACATAAGTTTTCTCCAAACAATAACCCGTAGCAATGCACAGAAGTAACAAGACGGTTCGCTTCAGAAAAGGGAAAAACTAATTTTCTCATTCCATCATGAAACTATAGTAACATTAGATTCTACACTAACTTTGATTCCTAAGTGGTACTACTGGAGAAAATAATGTGCCATTAGTTAAACCAGCTGCAATGGTGGTGAGCAAAGGAGTTCCGTGAGATTACTACTATTTTTATGGAGGAAATGAGTGTTAAAAGATAAGACACTGACAGGGGACTTAGGGAATATATCAGCCAGCAGTTTCCTGTATCTTTTGACCGGTTGGCGTGATCTTGACCTCAAAGCAGGACAGCAAACACACATGTTCCCACATGCTGGGAAGATCTTCCTAGAGATGACACCCATTGCCTGCAATTCCAAACACAAGAGCAAAATGTAGCCAAATTTAGAGCAAACCAAGCTAAAATTTCCAACAAAAAAACTAGAATCAACCCACCAAAAACCAAAAGCCCTAATTAGTCAAACAAAAACAAAGAAAAATGCAATAAAGCCAGGATCCACAGGACAAACTCAGTAACACTCGAAAGCCCAAATGGAAGGCCACCGTAGCCTAAACCATTTACACAATAAGCAGGAACAAAAATGGCCAGTTTTTCAAAAGCAAAAGCAAGAGAAAACCAAACCACCAAGAAAAGAATAAACATAGCAGAAACAAACAACCACACACAGTATGTAAAGAAAGAAACCAGTCACACCAAAATACTTCCCCAGTGATAACCATTACCAACCAGAACCAAAGTTGACAACCACCAAGTATCACATAACTTGAGAGAAGACCGAAAACAAAATGAGAAGTTAGAAGCAAGACAACAATAACTCACTCCACTCACTCCTTCGGAAGAAGATCTGGGAGCAGCAGAAGATAAACCCTGACTCTACAGGGAGGGTAACGGAGAGAGCAAGTGTGAGCAGTAACAATCAACGACAGCGAGAGGCAGTAAAAAAAAAAAAAAAAAAGGAACAGAAAAGAAAGATGGCGCGTGGGCGAATACAAAGTTAAGGTGAGACTACGTTGTGTGGTGGATTGGATGCGGAAGATCACGTGATTGTGTCAGGTGGAACACAAATTCATTTTCCTTTTTCTTTTTCTTTTGCTGTAAAAGCGTATGTACCTATGCCCCTGCGTTTTCAAACACTGTCAGAACTTGCAAGACACACAACAACAATCCAATTTTTTATCGTTGTTGGAAAAAACACTTGGAAAACTCCCACCGCACGCTTTTGGAAAATGAAGTTTTGTTTCAAAATATTTCCTATTGAAGTTGGGTTCTCCTTCCAACTTTATTTTGAAACTCTCCATCACACTAAGGTAGTGGTTAGGAATTTTAGCGGTGAGTGGATAACACGCGCATGTTATTTAAATTCAACATTTATACGCCAAATTCGTCAATGTGGTCTCATTATTTTATGTAATTTAACGTCAAGGCTCGTTAAAATATCTATAATCTATAATTAATACAAATCCTAGCATGCATTTTATTCATTACAAAACTTTAAAGTAGTTTTCATTATGAATATAAATAAATTATAATTATTTTCTTCTTTTTTTACAGTTTTAATTCATTTATTAACATAAATATTATTTTTTTTTCTCACTTTCATTCGCGATCTACTTAGTAATTCATTTTGATTTTTAATTCGACCATATGTGAAACTTAATCACAATTTTTAAAAACAATGGGTGCACATGTTGTTGGAGATTGAGAAATGTTGTGGCGCATGGCCTGAAATGTTGGGACATGGAGGGGCAAATTTTATTTGAATACGTCCAAGGAAAAAAATTATAAAGTAAAAGAAAAGAGACAACGAAGAGGATTAACTGGGTAGTGCATTTATTCCTCTGCGACTATAATAATTGTGCCTTGTGTTTTTTTTTTATTACAACAATCCAAGAGAAGCTCTTTGACTTACTTGGATATACAACTTTCATGCACATCACATAAACATGGAATATTCATTTGTCTAATTTAATGTTAAAAGGGGGAACATCCAAGATAATTTATATTTTTTTAAAAATAAAATCAGAATGGATAATTTTTTTTCAATGGGTCAGTTTGAATGGTTATTTTATTAAATCTGAATTGAATCAAACTTTAGTCTACTGGTTAGATTTATGCTATGAGGGATACAGGAAGAAGAAGAACAAAATAGTAAAAGAAAAGGAAGATTAAAAAAGAAATGTCTTTATTTTAAAAAAAGTAAGAAAACAGTTAAAATAAAAAAACTGTTTAAATGTAAACATATAGTTTAAAAACAACTTTTTTATTGAAGTTAAAAATAAAATATTTATTATTATTATTATTATTTATTAATGTTTTTAGTTTATTTATTGTTAATATTTATTATTAATCACATTTTTAGTAACATTATGTAAACCTGTAATCGAATCATTATGACTTGTACCGAACAGAAATCAATATGATTATCTTATAGTGTATTAATTATGAACACAACAAATTCTAACCGCGTCCATTTCATTTAATTCAAAACTAATCAACAATTAGGGTACGTAATTACCGTAGTCATGATTATCTTATAATTATAAAAAGCAAATAAGATGATTAAAGCTGAAGATAACATTATACTGTACTATAACAAGAAGCGACAATAATATTGCACATCGCATGCGTGGGTTGCTTAAGGTTAAAGAATGTTTTTAATCGTGCATATTTACTTTATGCTTTAAAAAGTCTTTTAATAAAAATAAGTTATTGAGTAATAGTTTAGTATAAATTAAATTAAGTGCCTTTTAAATTGTGGTAAAATTTTATTAATATATATATATATATATATATATAATAATTGAAAATTTAAACTTAAATATCAATCTGTCCAAAAGCAATTTAGTTAAATAGGAAATTTTAAATTGCATATTACCTCTAAATTTGATTAAATCTTTAATTATTTGGACATTCTTAGATAATAAAATATATTAATAATCTCTTCATAAATTTCGTTTCCTCACTATTTGGAAAAAACTCATTAAAATTAATAATTTTAAATTATTTCTTTTAGAGATATAGTTATTATTTTTTAAAGTGTTGATAAGATTATTTTCTTATAATTTATAGATTATAAATTATGTGTTTTGTGAGACGTACACGAATTGGGTTAAATTATAGTTGACAAAATTCATGATTTATTCTAATAAAATATTATTGAATTATATTGAATATTTGTATTTTTTTAAGCATATTCAATTCAACTCATCTTTTATTTGATTGAGATCATATATATTTAAAATTTATTTTTGTATTAAATTATTAAATTGTTAATTTGTACTTTGTTATAATTTTAAAATAATTAGTTTAAAAATAACTATCCTATTTAATACTTGAATAATTTAATGTTACAGTTATATTTAATTATTATAATAATTGAATAAATTAAAATTGTACTATTATTATTATTTATTTTTTATTACATTTTAAGTCTAATATACAAAACACACTACATTATCCATGGGAGATTGGGTTATATTGGAACAAGTAGGAATAAATAAAATTTAATCCAATTTATTAAATTTAATCAGATTAATCGTTGAGGTATTGACCTAATGAACACCATGTTAATCTAAATTCTAATTCCATTTTTTTTAGAGAATATCCAAGAACTTGATTTGTTAATTAAGTGATGAATAGTTTGTACCAACATCACGGTAATAGAAGTTTGTTGTGATGAAGTACTTACAGTAAAATAAGTTTTTTTTTGTTTTTTTTTTACATAATTGGTGTAATTTTATTTCAAATTTACTAAAATAGATAAATTTTGTAAAATTCACAAAATTGGAAAATCAGGTGTAAGTAAATTTTATAATGACAAAAAAAAATACTACTACGACTTTATTTTTTTATATATAAAAAAAAACTGTGTTATATGGTACTACTCTAAGGTTTTTCTCTTAATTTTCGTTAGGTGACATGTTTTTTAATTTTTTACATGGCACAACTTAAAAAAAAATCTCGCTTTGAGTTTTTTTTTTTATTAATATCAAATATTATTATACATAATCTTTTTTATTTACCATATTTTAAGTTTTTTAGTTTATAAATAAAAAATAATAAAATTATAACAAAAGTAAAAAATAAACCTTTTCTCCACATGGTTTTAAGTTGTTAAAAAAATTATTTCTGAGATAATTGTCTATAATTTTTGTTTGATACATAAAGTGGAATATCCATTATATTACATTAGTTTGGAGTGTTTTTTTTCATTGAAACTTGTATAGAAGGATTTGACGCGATATTTGTATCTAAAAAATATTATATTTGTTTTAATTTGGTTTTCCAATTATTAGATAACATGATACATCTTAAAAAAAAATATTATCAAGAGCAACAATAATATTAACTTTACTGAGACACAATTCAATCACTTTATTGCATTTAATATATAACTTTAAACTTAAATACAAAATTCAACAATATAAGTGTAAAATAATTTATATGGTTTTAATTTAATTTTTGGTTGTCATTCATTTTTCATATTATTAACTTTTTTTATTTTATTTTTTTTAGGATAGGAGATAAAGCAACCAAGCATTTTAACTAAATTATTTATTATGAGATTAAAGTGTTGACAAATTGGTTATTAATTTGATGAAATTTCATTAAAAAAAAAAAAAACAAACATAACCCAACGACTATCAATTTAGTAAAATGCATTAACTTTATTTGAAAATGAACATGTATGGACATAAACTAAGGGCACCATGACCCCTTTCCCCAAATCATTATATAAATAATATTTTTATAAAATAAAATAATTTTTTATAATATAATATAAATTAAATTAAATTAAAATTATTATTTTTATTCTTATAATAGTTCATTTATAATAAATATCATATTTAATTTTTTAGATAAAAATTTACTTTCACTTTTTTTTCTTTTTCTTCCTTTTATCTTCAAATTTTTTATTTTTTCTCTCTCAAAATTTTTTTCAGTTTAATTTTGTTCTGTTAGACACTCCTTTTATTTCTGTAAGTTTTTTTATTTATTATTTATTCACTTTCATATTCTTCTATTCAGTAAAAATTATAAATTTTTTTCTTTAATTTTATTTTATTTTTTCAATTTCATCTCTATAACATAAAATATGTAATTTTTCGTTCTTTAATTTTTTAGTTTTTTGTTATCTTCTTTTCAATAAGGCATTAGGTAAAATTTATAAAAGAAAAGAGATATTCACAATAATTTTTTTTACATGAAAAATAGTAAACAAATTTATTTTATTTATTATTTTTATTCATTATATAACAAAGTAACATATATAATGTAATATAAAAATATGAAATATTGATATAATTTTTTTAATTTGTTATAAATAGTTAGTTATTTTTATGTTTTATCATACTCTATTTTGATATTAAGATGTTATTTTTTTTACTAATTTTTAAGAGAAAAAATGATAAATTAAATAAATATTATTTTAAAAATTTTAAATTTAATTAATAATATTGAATATATAATATATTTATTTTCATATGATACTAAACTAAAATTTATGACTTTGTTCTTAAGAATAAGACTCTGTCAATATGAGTTTTAATCAAAATCACATTTAAAAAAAATATAATCTTAATTTGTGAAATGTGGAAGAAAAGCATATACATGAATATCATAAATAAATTGTTGCTTAAAAAACACCAATAACAAAGTGTCATCTGTCATTCCAAATATATAATAAAAAATTTATAAATTTGAAATTTAAGAATTATCAAACTGATAGACGAGTAAAAGATATACAATTAAATTTTTAATTGCATGATTAATTATATGATTGTGAAAGTTATAAGATTTTTAATTATTTTCCTCACTTGTTATTCCGATTTTTTTAAGTTTATGGGTATTAATTTCATTAAGTACCATTTTCATTTTGAATCTAATTATCCAATGTGAATAATTAGAAAAACTTACCAGGACACACATCTATAATAAAACAAATCTACCTAATCTAACTTAAAAAAATCATTTTATCCTATTAAGATCATAATTATAATAATTATCCCTATAAATAATAATATTGATATATTGTAATATTGCACTTTTAATATTAATGTATTTCATTTTTTTATCTATTATTACAAATTTAATTTTTTATTAAAATTTTACCATTTTAAAATATGATAAATATATCATATATATAATATTATTTTATAATTAAATTAAATGTAAAAATATTAAAAAATTAAAATTATGCACAAATTTTTTAATAATAAATCATAAAGTAAAAATTCAAAAAGAAAAATACAAAAAAATGTAATATATATATATATATATATATTTATTGTAAATTTTTCATAAATAACATGCAAAAGTCTTTAAATTTTTTAAATTTTAACGATTTTTATTAAATTTATGATAAAATTGCATCAATTACCTAAAAAAACGTGGCATGAGGTCGAGAAAAATCTACTTCCGATTAGTTAAATATTATAAGTTGTGTTGTGAGTCTCCCATATCACATTATCCTTTTGTTTCTGGTGGAATTTCGATCGATTTCGACTCTTAAGATATTTTGATCCTAATCAAAATTCTACCACGTAAGTTCTTTTTTTTACTTAGGCTAGCAAATTAATTTTCAATCGAGATGCGTATGAGGATCGAATTTTACCCGATTTCAAAGATGTTATTTTTGATATGTTATATTTAAAGTGCTCGAAGTAAAGAAAGCAAAAAATTAATGGAATCGAAAAGCAGTGCTGAACATTAAATTGCAAAGAAACGTAACATGCGGAGACCTTAAATTCGCTTTAAGTATAAAAGACAAGGAATCGAAACAGCAGAAATGTAAATAACAGGAAATCGAATTTGCAGGAAATGTAAATGACAAGGAAACTTAAACGCGGAAACTTAACTTTCATTGAATCGAAATAACTAAAAATCGAAAGTACAGAAACATAAAATTGCTGAAGATAAATTGCATCAAAGTAAATTACCAAGGAAAATACAGAAAACAGTAAAGGTACTCAATGAGCATGGAAATCCAGATTGCCAGAAGCTTCATGATGTTCGTCGTTTCTCCGGTAGACTTCTCACTAATGATTCTGTTCTCTGCCAATTTCTGCTCCCTTTTCCTTTCATCATTTGCTCTATTTATAGTGTCTTTTCAAGTAGTCTCTTAAGAGCAGTTAACGAAGACTACTACCACGTTCTCTGTGCACGTATTTTGCAGTTTTATTCCTAGCTCTGCGGTTTAGAAGCTGTATCCACGTTCCCATGAATGAGGTAACCGCTCCCTTGACCTTCGACTTTTGCTACTGCTTATTATGTTCGATGTATACGTCGACCATTCTTCTTAGCCAAAATTTCGATATTCACGTATATTAGCCTTTCCTTCGATTTAGATTTCGCGACTTCGAGAATTTTGGATTTGCTTTTGATTCTCGATATCCTTAACGTTACCAGATTTTGTTTTCTTGATTTTCTTCACCAACGGATGTTAAGCGTTGTTCCCTCGATTTTCGATTCCAATTCTCGATATGTTTTTGTTTCCCTTCACTTTCTCGATCCTTTTATAGATTTCTCACTAACAAAATGCCCCCTTAGAAGAATATGAATAGTTTCCGTTTATATTCTTTCAACACGATTCCCGCTTTCGCTCGTTGGAGGCCCACAACAATTT